ACAATACATTACTATGCTCCGTTACTAGTAACTAGTTTCTTCTACTCCTCTCTCTCTCTCTCTCTCTAAGCATTTATGCCCATATCTGCATGGCATGGGGCATAATAACACTCCCCTCTCCCGGAAATCCACTTAAGGTTATTGGTGTTCATTCTTTTGCTTCAGTTGTGATGTGCATGGTCAGTGTGGTATATATTGTTGGTGATTTTCTATGAAAATTTTAACCTGGATTATTTCTGGGGTGTGAGTTGCACTTTCACAAAATATCTAGTTTTTTCTTCTTCCCTTGGATTATTAACCTATTACATATTTATGATGCTTTATGGTGCCATTTATTCTTGAACATAGGTAGGCAGCATTTATTCTATTTCCGTTGGTTGAAGAGTTTGAGTTGGTCTTTGTACAGTTTGGGGTGTCAAAGGATACATAGGTGTTTGAGCTTATCCTCTCTGTTCAATTTTATGGTAGAACATGATGCTTGGTTTTATTCGTGTTAACTAGATAGCTTGCAAATAAAAACCCATTTACAGCAATTGAAAAAATGAAATGCCTCTTTCTCCTTTTCAGGATTTTGAAATCTGTAGATGATACCCTTCAACTTTCACATATATTTGGGGTCAAAGTAGTGGAGCTTGGACAAGCGGTGGTATTGTTCCTATTTAGTGTTATCTCTACTTTGGTGGATTGCACGTTAGAAGATTGGGGATTGCAAGGGACGGCTAGAGAGAAGAACGGACTATATGGGACAGCTGGAGCTGGAGACATGGATATAGATGTTAAAGGGAATATTAAAGGGAATAAAAATGATAGATTGCTTGAGCACCGTGATCATCTGCGGAGTATGAATTCTTATGCGGCCATTGAAGTGGTTGGGAAGCTGTTTGAAAGCAAAAAATCATCGGTCTTGCTTCGGCTCGTGCATCATAACTTGTGAATCATTATTCTACTTTTGTGTTTGTTGCTTTTCTTCTATGTGAACTCTTGCATTAGTTTTATGGTTGTTAGATCATATCTTGACCTGCATAACTCTCCTGGGACATATACTTAACTCCTATAGATTATGGAAAACCATAGACCATTGTGGTCTTCTCTTTTTGATGAAATGATGGATAGTGATGGAGAGAGAGTGGTATCCACGAATGGGTTTCATGTCGTGTTTTGGTTGTTCCCACTCTCTGTCCATCATCATCCATCGTTCATCGGGTGGTAATGACCCTATGTTCTCTGGGTTTCCATAATACATTGGGTTAAATTATACTTGTACTCTAATTTATATATTATTTTTCTAGAAAGAGCAATCATGAGAAGACATACTGATAAGATGTTTTCTGCAAATACTAGGCCTGAAAAGTACCGTGGTTTGCTACAGAGACTACAGTATCTCGAAGCCCATAAATCAAAATTGCCAAACATGAAAGTGGGGACTCCTCTAATCGGGAAGTTGTCTGGAGCCCTGCAGAGGGTCCTAGAGCGGGAAAACCAATTGAATAAGTGTCAAGTTATCAGAGCCATGATTGATATTGGGTGTTCTAACTCAGTATTGCGCCATAATTTTGGAGTTGCTCATTCGGCTTCTTGGATTTCTTTTGATCTTTATATGGAGAATGTAATGGATGGGAAACAGCTACCAGCAACGTCGGCTATTGAGATACTATCAGGTGTGTGCCATTCCTCTGCATTTGAGCCAATGATTGCCTTTAAACTTGCATTTCAACCTTGACGATAGGGGGGAAAAAACTTGCATTTCAACGTCTAATACATAGATTATGCTTTTGAGCTAAATTTGGTTTCAGCTCTAAATGTGGCTGATAACCAGCCTCTTTTGCCAAAATTGGGTGGAGCTCAACGTGCATAATATGGATAATTTTTAATCGTGTCTTTCTTATTTTAATGTTTTAATTTGGGAAAGCAGCTGCAATTCAACATTTTCAAAGTTTATTCTGTTATATGTGAATGTCCTTCGGTGGTGACCAAGATTTGTGAGCTGTCCTACTGGATCCTTGTGAGATGGACTGCCTTGATTGAACCATCCGATTGCCAGCATTTGCAGGGGCATTTGATAAATTTTTTTAGAATATTATATTTGGAGATTTATTTTAGTCCGCCTAGGTTTGGGGTACCTTTCCCCAAGATTTCAGGTCAAATGATTTATAAAAAATTCAAAGTAGAAGAGGGTGCATACACATTGGTTGTTAGATTTGTGAGATTGAATCTGAGCCGTCCAACCTGTACTGATGATCTGTGGGCTGGCTGGTTCAGTAAACTTCTTCTCCAAAGTGTATACTTCTTTTTCTATAGACTGTGTGTGCGTGTGCGCTCGCGCGCGTGAATGTGCGCTCGCGCACGTGCATGTGTGTGTGTGTGTGAGTCGGCGGCCTCATCTGTTGATGTACGTCCTCCTTGTAAAATCTATTCAACAAATGGATTTTGATCCGAAAATTTAAGGATCCATAATGTAGGCTATAGTGATCATAAATAATTAAAAATTTTCAAATTTGTTTTTTTTTTTTTTTTTAAATTTTCTAAGCCCTCTATTTTTTGAAATGGTCCGGTTGTTTTTTCTATTCCATCATAAAGATGGACGTTAAATGGTCAGAGGATTGCATGCGTCCCCTCACTCATACAACGCTTTTCCTATATATAATGTAAAAAGACCATATGAGCCTACGGAGCCTATGTAAAGTATAAGCCAGCCCCGATTGATGCTCCCAGAAATAAACTGTCTGCTTTGCCTACTACAATTTTTTTTTTTTAATTATTTTAAAGTAAGTGTTAGATGGACCCCTAATTTTGCACTAATCTGCTTTTTATGTAGGCTTCCCAAATAAAAATAAAAAGTGGATATGCATAAAAATGTGGGCCCAATTGTGTTCGCCATTTTCAGTAAATGTAGGCCATCCCAATCACCTCTGATTCTTCAATCTGGGCCATTTGGCCTATACTGTTCCATCGACTGGGCGCCTCAAAGAATCTCTGTGTTGTATATATCCTAACTTAATAATATGACTCAAAATATATATTTTTGGTCATTTTGTTTCTAACTTCATGAAACCCTACTGCAGAACTAATCAAAACACTCAAAGTGATGAACCGAGCTAGCTGGCAAGAGACATTTCAAAGTCTATGGATTTCTGCTCTGCGCCTTGTGCAACGAGTTAAGATTAATCCTATCTCTGCTGTGCTTTTCCATTCTCATATCATATGAAAGAAACTTACCTGGGTCTCTTTATAATGTTTTGACTGCCATACTTTCCCTTTTCTCATGTTGGACCACTACACTTATCATTACATGTGCACCCAAATTGTTTGACTATTAATAACACGATGACAATTGCATTGTAGGAGCGTGACCCACTAGAAGGCCCAGTACCCCATCTAGATGCTCGATTATGCGTTCTTCTGTCTATTACACCCCTTGCTGCTGCTCGTGTCATTGAGGAAGACATGGAAGACTCTTCACTTATTAATGGTGGTGTAACCCAAAATTCAGGAACCACTGATGAGCATGGAAAGGATGGGAACTTACCTACTTCGAGAAGGCAAGGATTGATTTCTTCTCTTCAGGTATTAGGGCAGTTTTCTGGGCTCCTATTGCCTCCTCCCTCTGTTGTGCCTGCTGCTAACCTCGCAGCTGCAAAAGCAGCGGGATTTGTTTCTGACAGTTTTAATGGAGCCAGCCGTAGTGATACCTCAGTTAAAGCAGGTGATCCGTTTTTACTTATTTTTAAAAAATTTGTTAGAAGTTACTCTTATTATTATTCTGTGTAGGTGGTTTATTTGAATTCTCAGTGAAAGCTCATGGTTTGATAAATGAAAAGCCTGTAATCATCGATGACTATTAATATAATGAAGAACATGCAGAATACAAATTTAAGGAGCCAAATTATTATCTATGATGATTTTACTTGTTTGGAGCTTAGTGTTTTATTTTCTTTTGCAGTTGGGGACATGCGTCACCTAATTGTTGAAGCTTGTATTGCGAGAAAATTGATCGACACATCAGCATATTTCTGGCCTGGTTTTGTTGGTAGATCGGTTACTCCACCACGGCCAGACACCACACTGCCTCCAGTATCTCCTTGGTCTGCCTTCATGAAAGGAGATCCATTGAATACTCTGAAATATGCATTGAGCATGACTCCTGCTGCAAGGTATTTTTCGATCTTTGGCTGAATTTTTTTTCTTTTTTGGTAATTCAGCATTTGGATTCAAACTTGGGATGAGGCGAACACCTTAACCAATCATATGCCCAATCTCAAACGTGCTGAATGGCTTTTCTTCATAAGGGAATATTTATGTTTCCAAAATGTAATGCCATAGAGTAGTTCAGGAATTAAGCTTTTATTGCTTATGATTCTGCCATGGCAAGGTGTACTTTCTGGTGGACTATGCAAGTACATAGTCCATTGGGTCATCACCGTCTAATGAAATTCTTAACATGTTTTAGAGTGAGTGTCGTCCATAAATGGGATCATATATTTTTCTGTTGTGTCCGTCCTCTTTCCACAACCATCCATTGTGTTCACCGGACGGTGATGACCCTGATGATCTATGATTTGTAATTTTCCATGTCTCATTGGCTTATAGTGCCCTTTCCTTGTAGCATTTTGGTTCTTGACTTTCTCTTTCTTATTTTGAAGTTTAGCAGAACTTGAGAAAATCTATCATATTGCCTTAACTGGAGCAGAAGAGGAAAGGATAGCTGCAGCTAGAATTCTCTGTGGTGCTTCTCTCATTCGTGGATTTAATATTCAGGTAATGCATGTTTTTGAATAGTAACTACCATATTGGAATTAAGACAATGCATGGAATTGTGCCTTTGCCACACTCATAGAAGAAGAAGATAGTTTTATGTGTCAATATATGAGGTTCAGCAAGCATGCCAGTTTTTCAGTCTCTTCTGCTATTTCTCATGAGCAGTTTGGTGTCCCTGCCTTTCGACATGAGAAACTTTGTGCTTTTGTTTTCAATTTTGATTATGTCAATTCTAGATATCTTTTGGTTTTTGAGAGCGTTTTATTTATGTTCTTTTTGTTTTATTCCTTAATTTTTTTATGGTATCTTGTCCTTTTTCACTTTGGATTCTGATGGAAAATGCAAGTAGTTGCAATAAAATTTTCTACATTCGATTTACTTTTTATTGTTGAAGAAAGTAGGTTACTTGTAACCTAGTAAAACAAGTAACATCTCCAATGGGTAGTTGTTTAAATGCTTAAATGATTAAATCTAGTATTTTCTGTTCTTTGTGGCCACATAGGTTATTAAGCAGAATTTCTTCTCCATAATTCCTACTTTGGACTACACTCCATGTTGCTTTGTTAACATTGTTTCCTTTTTGCAGGAACATGTAGTGCGGTTTGTGGTGAAGCTTCTGTCCCCTCCTGCACCACCGGACTTCACTGGACCTGGAAGTCACTTGGTTTCTTATACATCCATGTTGCAGGCAGTCCTTTTTGGACTGTCCTCAATTGACACTGTCCATATCCTTTCTTTGTACGGCGTGGTAAACCAGAATTTTGATCTTGGGCATTATATAATTTGGTTTTATTGTATTCCAACTGTAGCTTGACTCTTCAAGTTTCTGATAAAGACAAACGCAAGATATATGGGTGGCCTTAGTTTTTACGAGAGTGCCAAATGGCCTTACCAAATGCTGTGTTAGAAATCAATCAATTCAAACAAAGAAGCCAGATACTCTAAATTTAAAACACTTCAAAGCATTCGGCCAACTCGGTAAAATTTGTCCTTTTCTTTGCGAGTGCCAAAACCCAATGTAAGAACTTCATTTAGAATTTCAAATTTATGGCTATATAGTGGATCGAAACTCATTTGGTAACTAACATGTGATTATTAAGTCATCCAGTAGCCTTATCAGCAGGTTTTCTATTAAACCCAACTAATTTTGCAGATTCCTGAAGTTGCAGCTGCTTTAATGCCCATCAGTGAGACGTTTGGGACTCTGATGCCTGCATCTGACCCTAAACCAAGCGGTGGAGAAGAAAATCCAGCTTATATGGTTTTCTCCTGTGCATTTCTCTTTCTACTTCGGTTATGGAAGTTCTATCGACCCCCTCACGAGCACTACATAGTAGGACGCGGCCCTCCTCTTTTCTCTGGACTCACTTTAGAGTATCTTCTATTACTCCATAATGGTCGAGTTGCTTCCAATGCAACGAAGGGGACCAATGAGAAAACTGGAAAGAGAGAGAACCAACATTCAATTTATATCGACTCATTTCCAAAACTAAGAGCTTGGTATCGCCAAAATCAAGCTTGTATAGCTTCAACACTTTCTGGACTATGCAGTGGGAATCCAGTGCACCAGGTTGCCAATAAGATTCTCAGTATGATTTATAAGAAGATGAATAAAGGTGGGGTTAATGGTCCAAACACCCCTTCGAGTGGGAGCTTGAGTGGGTCACCAAGGAATGGAGAAGACAGTGGTCAGAGGCCCATGATTCCAGCATGGGAGGTGCTTGAGGCTATTCCCTTTGTGCTGGAGGCCGTGCTCACAGCATGTGCTCATAGAAAGCTTTCATCTCGGGATTTGACGACGGGTTGGTTGCAACTTCCTTTCTGGTTTTATTGGTTTTGGGAAGTATGTCTAGTCTAGTGACTATGAAAAAATGTAAAAGAGTCCGTTAGAGGGTCATCATTGTCCAGTGGATTGTGGAAAATCATACATAGTTCTGGAGGGACCATAACTGTCCATTGAGTGATGGATGGTGATGGAGAGAGAGTGGCACTTGGGTCATGTCCTGTCCTGGTGGGTCCCTTTCTCTCTCCATCATGGTCCTTCAAATTCATTGGACGGGGATATCCCATGTGCAGTGGTTTTCCATTAGGTTATATTATACTTTCCTTGTTGGTTTTCCCAAATGTGCTTTTGAGCTCCAAGACACAAGGATGTGTGAGCTTGTCTTCTATTTTGAAGGTTTTGGCATTTTGTCAGCTGCATTTCATTTGTTGGATTTGCGTATCATTCTCATTAAGACTACTTTCACAGTTTTGGTGCTGGATTAGGTTTGAGGAGCTATCATAGTCTTTGTTTTCCTTATACAATTTAAATTAATTAATTTGGATTTCAGAATATAACTTGTTCAGTATTTATATATTTCTTCCTTGAAATAAAAAATGAACTGTTCAATTCTTTATTTGCAGGCTTGAGGGACCTGGTGGACTTTCTGCCGGCTTCTATTGGGACCATTATAAGCTACTTCTCTGCGGAGGTTTCTCGTGGTATTTGGAAGCCTGTTGCCATGAATGGAACAGACTGGCCTAGTCCTGCTGCAAACCTTCTCTCTATCGAAGCTGAAATGAAGGAAATTCTTGCTGCTACCGGTGTTGAGCTCCCCAGTTCTTATTCAGGTCTATATCTTCTCTCTTTGTTATTTTATTATTTTATCATCAATTCAAACCAAAATATTTTATGCTTCCACCTGAGTAATACTTTCCATTTGCTCCCTTGGGAAAATTTCAATTTTAAGATTAATTTTAGGACCCCAAATTTCGGGGATGTAACGTATTCAACCCATATACTATCTTCATCATTATCGTCTGAGTCTTGTCCTAACTATTTGGGCTTGGCTATAAGAATCCTATTCCACCATTCCGCTCTATCAAGGGCCATACCCTCAGTCTGACTATAAGTCACCATATCTTTTCTCTCTACTTCCATCCAGGCATTCCCCTTGCCCTTTTAGAGCCATTTTCTTGTACCAAAATTACCCCTCCTAGTCGGTGTTGTTAGTGTACTTTCCATCATTTTATCGTTGGAGCTACCCCTAAGTTCCTAAAATGTATTCATTCCGAATTCTATCATTTTTTGTCTTGTCAACCCATATACTAATCTCAATAAATTAAATTTCCTTTGTTGCACTCTATATGCGCTTGAAAAAATAATGTCTAACGATTGAATAGAAACCATACAATCTTTAAAGTGTGAGATCTATGTATTAGAAAACTCAAAATTTTGAATTTTGTTTTTTGAGAACAATCATCTAGTGATTCTTAGGCGGTTTCCAAAATTTTAGATTGAAAAGATTCTCCCAAGTAGGTCTTCTAACCAAGGGAGTAGAGGGCATATACCATACTCTTGGTGTATGCGCTCTTATTACAATCCTTGATCTTTGGGCTATCTGGATGATGATTTCTCAGCATTTTCTCATTTTCGGTTTTGCTTGGATTATCTTTGTGATCTTCATCTTTCACTTTGCCATGCAATGATTTTGATTAGTGGTGAAAGTGAGCCAATGTATGTTGTAGAAGTAACAAAATTGTCACCAGGCATTCTCTTTACACAAGCAGAGCAATGGCCTAGACATCTCTCTTTCTCTCTCTCTCACATTGATATGAGCAACTCTCTCTTTATATATATTTGATCTTTAATGCTCTCTCTCTCTCTCTCTCTCTCTCTCTTACACACACACACATTGATTTGAGTGGTTCCCATCATGCACAACAAACAGGTGGGCTCGCCCAGATGACGCTCCCTCTCCCCATGGCTGCGCTGGTGAGCCTGACCATCACATTTAAGCTAGACAAGAGCCTCGAATTCATTCACAGTGTTGTGGGCCCTGCCCTCGAGAGTGCTGCCTCTGGTTGCCCCTGGCCCAGCATGCCCATCATAGGGGCATTATGGGCACAAAAAGTGCGGCGATGGCATGACTTCATCGTATTCTCATGCTCCCGCTCTGTCTTCAAGCAAGACAAGGATGCTATCTTTCAGCTCCTTAAGAGCTGCTTCTCTGCCTTTTTGGGCCCCTCGGGCCTGGTGGGCCTAGGTGGGGTTGGCGCATTAGTGGGAAATGGCGTTGCCAATCGTGCATCATGGGGGGGTCGCATGCCCGTGGCCCCTGGCTTCCTCTTCCTACGCACTTGTCGAACCATACACAACGTCTCCTTCGTGACCGAAGCCATCTTGAAGCTCGTTGTTGAGACTGCCCGGGATCTCTCGAAGCTGCCTGAGCCACTGATTGGATCATCCCAACGGCTCAGATCGTGCCAGGTGTCACTTTCTGGCACGGCAGCCAGCGTGAGGGAGGCGGCAATGCTAGGGGCGAGCCTGCTGTGCCTGGCAGGTGGGCCACAGCAAGTGCAGTTGCTCTATGAAGAGACTCTGCCCACCTGGCTCCTCTCTGGCGGGCCTAGAGCCATGGGACCACAGGCACGTCGACCCATCTTAGAGGGCTATGCAATGGCCTACTTATTGGTTTTGTGCGGGTGCTTCATGTGGGGTCCCACAGAGGAGTCGGGGCCTCCGGGCATTGCGATGGTGCGAAGGCGTGCCCGTGCAAGAGTGGTGGGGAGGCACATGGAGTTTTTGGGTGGGGCCCTTGATGGGGAGATATCGTCATCAATGATGGAGTGGGTGAGGGCATACGTAGTGTCCTTTCTTGCGGTGGTGGTGAGGATGGTGCCGTGGTGGATCAGCGAGGTAGAGAGCGATGTGGTGAGGAGGGTGGCAGATGGTTTGAGGGGTTTGGGGGAGGGGGAGCTTGCACTCGCATTGTTGGAAAGAGGAGGGCTGGGGGCTATGAGCTGTGCCGCTGAGATGTTCATGACCGGGCCATAGATTAGGGTGGAGAGAGAGAGAGACAGAGTGCTCTATGGCGCTGTGCAGTTAGTGAGCATCAAACAACATACATGAGAGAGAGAGAGAGCTCCAATGCCTCACATGAAATCAGCGATGTGTTCATGTGTTCTGCATCTGCTCATGTAACTTCTAATACCAAAGAGAGAGAGCGATCTTTCGGTACTGAGGCAGTTTTGTAAAACACACATGGTTTTGTTCTCTGTTCCCATGTACTCTCTTTTTGGGCCAAGTTAATTACAATTTATGTATGTATTATTTGATATTCAGATCGTGGTCTTGGCCAAACATCCTTTCTTTGAGATTTGGTATTGAATATTGGTCCATTTACACGGTTGTGGGACTGGGAAATGTGTCGGCAACTTGTAAATTTAGCAGAGAGACAATAAATCTCAGCCCTTCGTAGTCATCATTCGACCTCTGAGATGATGAATTCCTTTGGTACACTCCATGACTGCACTTTTTGAATACTGTACCTCTGTCTACTGTTAAATGAGAGCCAAAATTCAAGTGGTCTTCTTGTTTCCATTAAAAAGGAAAAGCCTTTGGTGGGTCGGTTGCATCTGCCCTGGTTTTCAAGGGATTTTGGAGCTGAAACGCATGCAAATCCGTTTCTGCCTTCAATCCTTGATTTTGGAATGCCAAGTCTTGGAATGCCAAGTCTAGTGTAAATCTGATGATCTTTGAAAAATTGAATGAACAGTTAAAATAAGTTACAAAATGGATCGTTATTAAGGCTAAAAATTTCAGTTTTATATAATTGTGCTTCATGAGACGAGTAAAATTATGGATTCAAAATCCATTTTCGAGGTGGATTTGGGAAGCTTTCTCAATTGGAGTTTATGCATATGAAGATAGATATGAGCTAGGATAGAGGTGGAAGAAGGAATTGTCTACAAAGACCATTTATCTGTCATACATGGAGGTCACAATCATTCTCACTCATTAGATGTCAAATTAGATGGTTTGGGGTCAATCATAAAATCTAAGAAATTTTTTTTTGGAACTTTGTGTCTATTCAATGATATTTTCATAACCAACCATTTTAAAATTTGAGGGACAATAATGATTGTGACATCTGTATACAAAAAGTATATAATCTTTTTGTAAGATAATCCCATAAAAAAATATAATCCCGTGTAAGATGTTGAAAGTGTACATCATAGTCATGTGGAGCATACGAAATAATTACTCCCCACAGCAATGGAATAGGAGACCTTTCGAATTGAAATTTTGGAATTTATTCAGAATGGCCGGATGAGTATTTTTAAATAAAAAAAATAGAAAAAAAGGATTTTGACCGTCTGAATACTTGAACATGATTGTACAATACTTGGGCAGTCTCTGTTTTATCTTTATGATGTTATTTTCATTAGCATATAAGGTGTGTTTCTTTTTCTATATAGAAATTGAGGAGGCTAGATTTCAAAAAATTTAAATACTAAAAATATACCTAACTAGGGTTTTACTAGAGGGAGTAAATGCATGATTTGCTCCAGCTGTGTTTTAGCATGAACTTTAGCGTAGTCCAGATAAGGTTTGTACATGAGTTTCTTTTTAAAAGAGGGAAATACTTCATAATTTAAGTTTTGAAAAAACGGCTAGTAAGAGGATCGAGATATGGATTTTTTAACATAAACACTGTGTTTTATCTGGGGAAAAGTATAGAATGAGACCATTCACCTTTGATACAAGGTAGTCACAATTAATCTTGACCATTTGATGTAAAATTGAGTAATTGTATTTATTTATTGACCAAGCTAAAACTGCAAATTTTTTTTTTCTCAACATACCAAAGCTATGAAATTTCACATCAAATGATTATAAGTAATTGTTAACACTTTGTATCAAAGGTAAATAGTCTCATTATATACAATCTTATAAATGCATAGCTTTTTAAATCAAAATGATTGATTCATCTTAATCAGGAGGGGGGATTAAATTATTTCCCAAGCCAATCTCCTGCCCGAGGGATTAAGCGTATAGTATATGCCCCTACGGAAGTACGATATACTCGATCATTATTGAAGTTCCGCATTCGTTTAAATTTGAATGATTGTTTCTTTTGGTTCGGGAAAATCCAGGCCTATTTACTGTCCCCCGTGGCCCGCATTCATGAATAAACATTGTAATAAAGAGAATTTTTATGAGAGGGAGAGAGAGTGTGTGTTCTTACTTCTTATTTCAATGCCATGATTTAGTATGAAATCTTATGGGGTATGGGCCTAGGATTTATGAAAATGAAGGAAAGCCTCATCTCAAATTCTTTTTTGGATCGCATTTTGAGCATTGAAAATCTCCACAATAGCTCTAAATCAATTTCCAACACGAATTATGAATTTTGAAGCTGAAAAAGGATATGGATCTTGCATATTTGTGAATAATTATTTCTAGAGCGATAATAAACAGTTTAGATGATATATTACAATATATATTATTTTTAAGATTTGAAATCCTATTTTTTTTTAAAACCATCAAGGCTGAGATGATCGATTTTAATGTTTTTCGATACTAAAACTACAAACTTTAGTGAGTTTTAGGTGAGGATTTATATATTTTGATACGGTCGTGAAAAAGTTTATATAAGGTTGCAAAAGAATTAAGGTGTATATAAAAAAGTCCATCAAAAAATATTATTTTAATATTAAAAAACCCTATAATTGATCATCTCAACATCGAGATGTATGACTATGTGAAAAAATAAAGATTTTGAGTCAAAAAATAATGTATTTTGCAACAAATTATGTAAGCCATCTATTTTTTAGATTTTCATATGTCTATAGATCCGATTGATTTGATCTATTTTTGAAAGTTAAAATTTGTTAATTAGAGATAAAAATGGATTATCAAGCCATCTTAAAAAATTTTGATACAAACATTATATTTTATAATAAAATTTAGAGGTGTACCTTACTTAAATCGTTTAATGGTGTGCCATATACAAACCACATACAATACCTAATGTGATTTTTCTGGGGGCAGTTTCGCAAAAGTTAAGAAGTTCAAATTTTGAGTAACGGCGTTAAAACCAGCCGTCAAGCCGAAAAGCTTTTATAAACGGCGATCGGACTCAAAACCGCTTTCAAATTCGGCGTAATTTCAGGCCTGCACCTCTACTTTTCAGTGTGTTATTTTTAGAGAGAGAAAGAGAAGATAGAGAAAATTAGGGCACACAGTGGTCAGTACGACGTGTGCCTTCCTTCCCTAGAGAGAGAGAGGAACGGGTATCTTAGACGGGGAAGAAATTCAGGGTTGTAAATCCTTTTAGATATAGAGAGACAGGGTGTAGGAGGGGGTGAGAAATTTGGGGTTTTTGTACAGCGGGAGATCCTGAAGAGAGAGGCTTGATTTGTGGAAAATCGTTTTTCTTGATTTTGCAGCGGACAGTGAACGGCTTTAGCAGTTTCTCAGAGCCGTGAAAGTTTTGATTTTTTTCTTTGAAAGGTTGAACTTTGCGTGGAGTTGGGAGAGTTTGATATAGAAAATTTGGAGTAGATCCCTGTGGCTTCTCTATCCTTTAAGGGCTTTGTTGTTTCTCTGAGAACTGGGGCTTCGGGTGGTATCCAATGGTTTGAGCCTTTTATGTGCTTTTAGAGAGAGAAAATCAGTGCATGGTGGACCCATTAAGGCTGGGATTTATGTGGATTAGTACGGGCACGGATGTTTCACTCTATCTCTTCAAATTCTACAGATGCAATTGAGTCCCAAACTGTCTGAATTTTGTTGATGAAGCGCATATGGATAGAAGAAGACAGTGATTTCCGAGTTTTGCAGTGTTCTATATGCGAAAAATCGATCATTTGAGATGGAGGGGAGGAAGATTTTAGCTAGCCCTAGGAGGTGTAGCAGGCATAGGGTTTTAGCTGGGAAAAGGCAGCGTGTTGAGTGTGTTAACAGTGTGAAGAAGTTACAGAGACGTGAGATCACTTCGAAGGGGAATCGTGCCTTCAGTATGAGCAGTTCACAAGAACGATTTCGCTACATACACTTGCAGGTCAGTTAAACATATGTTAACTTTTCATGTTTCTCTCACTAAAGTTTTTATTTTTTGCTTATATCTCACAATATTCATGTTTCCCTCTCTAAAATTTTTGGTTTGTTGCTTATTCGGAGTAAATCTTGTCTTTATATCTCTAAATATGTGCATAGAGTTGCCCTAGTTGAATTACCGTGATGGTGTAATTGGGACTAGCTTGTTGATGACATAAATAAAAGAAGTGGCTTATTTCTACCATTGAGCTGTCTAGTGCTGTTGCTTTCAATAATTTACATGATTGAAGTATTACCGTGGTGTCCCTTATTCAGAGTTACATGGGTTGATTTGATTACTTATCATCTTAAATTTGAAGCTACGTTCTTCCCCTGTTATATTCTTTTTGCTGAGGCATAGTGTGTATGAAGATTTGGAGCATTATTTTGTTTGGAATGTGAGTTTTTCTCATGTTCCATAGTATAATTTGGGTTTGTGAGTGTAAATTGAATACTTGATGCTAGAATTCTTGTATAGAGATCTTTGTGGACTGAACCTCATTGGAAGCTCCATTGTAGTTGTGCAACTCACTTAAAAAATAGGGCTAATAAGTGTTTCCTTTTAAAAGCTTTTCTTATGTACTGTTCACTGCTTCTTCTTCCTCATAGGCTTAGACACCTTAGTAACCAATAACAATGATTATAACACTAGTTAACCTTTCTCAAGAGAACAATGATTATATCACATTTTATGATTTACTTCTATTACTAAAGGTTCTATTGGAAAGCTAATAAAGGGCAAGGGGTATATCCAAAAAGACAAAGTAGTGAGAAAAGATATGGGGACTTATGGCCTCACCAGGGGCATGATCCTTGATAGAGTAGAATGGCGAACCAGGATTCATATAGGTTTTGATGATGACTAAAGGAGGAGGATGGTAGTTGTTGTCCAAGACATTGGTTAAACTACAATGAGGGGAAGCAATCCAATGCACTCTAAACTCATATACAAAGACCACTAGAAGTTGGAGAAATTGATGCCGAAGGTAACCTTGTGATGTTTTTTTGTACAATGGTCAACAACTGAAAGCTTCCATCTGCATGGCACTAGGCCCCTTCAGATTAACTACATGGACAATTACTAATACCAATGCATAAGGAACTATGCATACTTATCAAAAGAAGTAAAAAAGAACTACGTGGAAAAATCACAATTGGAAAACAACTTGGGGATTCCAATTCCAACCCGGCCTATCCTTCTCTCAAACTCTTTGAAATTTGTGAGAGGATAGTTAATTGCTTTTTTGTTTTAATTTTTTTTCCTTGACTGTTAGGGGTAGTCAACTTGGTTGTTGCCCCTTTCTTCAAATCCCTCCTAAATATAAGATGCCTTACAAATTCGCATCTACTTTCTATCTATGATTATGATGGACAATCTATTCTAGAACTTCTATCTTAGAGCTTTGCCCTGCATCATACATCGCTCCCCCGAAGATTGGCCTAATACCCTCTCCAACTCTAAGATTCCTTTGATACTTCCAACTTCTCGAACCCGCTCAAACTTCAGTCCTTTGACTCCCTATCGCCCACATTGGACCATACCCAAATAGTATCGCTCATTTGACTCCTCCATCCATTGCATACCTCCAATATGTATAATCAGCACGTGTGTCATTTGCATTTAGAAGAATATCATACATCAATGCTCATTTGTGGCAACACACAAGATATGGGAAATCCATGTTAATGTCCGTGTTTGCAAAATTTCTCTTTTTGGATTGTAGTCATGGAATGTTTCTATGTGGACAGCATGGTCCACAAATTGGACGAACAAGGCATCCATGTTCGTGTTATAAGATGCACATTTCATGTGTCCATTTTCTAAGACGTGTGGAAGCATGTGTCTTATGATTTGGTCACATATCTTTTTTTGTGTTAAATTATTACTACAAATTCACAAATTATATATATATATATATATATATATATCATCATATCATCATCTGAGCCTTATCTGAATTATTTGTGGTCAGTTACGCGAATCTTGTTTTACCATTATGCTCTATCAAGGGGAGGAATGCCAACAGCAATGGACCTAGGGGAAGGTTTGAGGCAAAATACAAAGAAGAAGTTGCTGGAAGAAAGAAGTATCTAACTAGTTAATACTTAAATTTTAAGATTGCAGAGGAAAGATCAGCTTTGGCACAGGTCCATGGTTTTTAGATTAGAGCCAATGAATTTGGGAGTTTGCCACAAGCAAACTTGCAAGTTTACTTGATTGGCCATGTATGTGGCCATTTTTGGGTGCACCTTGCGGGTTTCCCTTTAAATGAGAGGAAGCCACGTGTGGCTTGTGGTGTGCTCCCTTTTAAGAGGGGAGGCAACACGAGTCCATCGTTAAGGCTTGCTTGCCCAGTATTGTCATTTTTCATTTTTAAAGGTGACACATGTATGTGACTTTTCCAATATGTATAATTAATTAAACCTTTATTTATATATGAAGGATTAAACCCAGCTTTTTGCAGAAGTTTGATGTTTCAAATCTCTTGCTCTCTCTCTCTCTCCCCCCCTCCCCTTTTAGGCACGAATGGTCGGAGTTCCACTATGCGTTTATTAGGATCCATAACTTGGATTTTGATGATATTAGTGCCAATTGAAGCTTATCGAATTCCCCATTGATTTGACGGTATAATCAGAGAATAGATCTAATTTTAGAAGATGTTTGGGAATGCAAGGTAGGGGTCTTACAACGGATTTTGTTGAGCTGGTTGTTATCTTAGGGGTTGAACTTTTGAGACCCTATTGCATCTTAGATTATACACTAAGTTGGGGGTGTTTAATACTTCGAAGAAAGTGAGACCATCTCATGCCTTTATGTCCCATGTATATTTTATTTGGTTTGTTTTAATTTGGTATATCTCTGTCTCCGTTCTACTATGATATCTAGACCTAGACCCTCGGGGTTTAGCTGACCTAAAGAGAATTCTAAAATATCATGTGCATGACTTCAATCGAGTGAAAACTCTGCCCAAATTTTATTTGAAGGGAAGTAGATGCTTGTAACAAAATTTGGGTGTTCCCCTTAGTCCAATTCCAAATTTGACATATATATATATATATATATATATACAAGGTAAGGTGCGTGAGTGGTGTTCCTTATCTTTTTCCTACATAGACACTCACAAAAGTATCTATTATATGGACTTATACAAATGCATGGTGCTGTACTTGGCAAAATATATGTAGATGAGTTAGATACTTCCACTATGAGTTAGATGCGGACTCACATATTTGTATCATTGTAACGGTCTCCAATGCTATTTCAACATGGCATTAGGACTTTGTTCATATCCCTTATGGCAGTATGCCTTATTTATATAATTAAATTGAACTATGAGTGTTCCTCCATTGATTTGGAGAAATCTTTATACCCATCTCAACCTCACTGCTGTTGGTGAACAAATCATGAACAATTACATAAAATCACTTGAATGCTTGATATGGCTGTCTCATTAAGATTTAAGACTGAGCCTCAAGAATAATGCAATCTCTTGGGACAAAAGCTACCCTTACACAAGGCTTCATATGTGGGTTTCAAAATGGCTTATATGGCCGACAGCCGACACAACAACGACCTTGAGTAATAAATGTTTACCCATGCCTAATGTTTAAAGAGAAATATCGTGTTTATTAATGCCATTACTTGCCATGCTGACTGTGCTGCAAGGACGTTTTAGAGCATCATTTCCACCCATGCTCATTCCTCCCAAAGCTTATTTTTACTTGAGCACAAACTTTAGATGCTTACTCCGCATGGCAATAGAATGAAATAATGAAAAGGTCAATTTGGCCATGCAAACTGAAGATGGAGACTGGATCCATACCCTTTCTTTTGTATTGTTAGACTACCCATAATATGTTTTTTCTAATATCCCATACTTGGCAACAGTTTGACCTATCACTTACTCTTTATGTGATTGATCTACTAGAGCCACACACATAATCACTGTCAGTGATGAAATAAGTTGGAGAGTTGCGTGGTTTCAAACCTCTCAAGTTACTGAGTTTACCCCATGTAAATATTAGCAACCGTTAAGTATTCCATGTGACACAGTCTTAATAGTTGACAAATGCCCTAATATTTTCCAACAATATCCTTGCTACCCTTGATAAATAAAATACACTAAATATAATACAATATCCCTTATCTAGTATGTTTTGCTATGAGCTAGGGAATTAGCGTCTCAGATGTCAAATATGTTGAAATAGTGAATGAAAATTCCACCTAGGCAGCCCAAGGGACTTTCCAAACTGAATAGAGCCGAGTTGGAGTCTTATTTGGTTTGGTATTAGGGTGCCCTAGGACCACAGAGGTGGTTCTCTTGCAGCGAAGCCTCACCACCCCGCACTAGGCCTATACTGCCCAATGCGGGGCGGTGACCTTGGGTGGCCGACTAGTTGCCTAGGGCATTGTCTGGTCCTTGGGCGCACAAAGCCCTTTTGTCGAGGGCGGAAATTGCCCTCGCCAAAGGGAGAAAAATGTAATTTCCCGCTTGAAAAGCTGGGAAATAGTATTTGCGGGCATTTTGGTCCCCCCTCAAACCCTAGAGAACTCTATTTGTGCCCCAAAATCTACTTTTTTATGGTTTTAGATTTTTTGTGAATATTTTGTTATGTTGTACATTCTTGTCATTTTATTGTGTTTATTTATTTATTGTTTCTTTGAAGCTGTTAACATTTCTTCATGTGTTTATTTTTGAAGTTAGGCTTTACATTTATGATGAAACTTCATGAGTGTTTTTTTATGGTTTGCTATTTTTGCGATTATAATATATATTCAGCTATGTTTCTAATTTATAATGCAAATTTGAAAATTTATATGTTCGGCTTTGTTTCTAATTTATAATGCAAAATTTTTGTGATTGTAATATATATTTGGCTAGTTTCTAATTTATAATGCAAATTTGACAATTTATGTGTTCGGCTTTTGTTTCTATTTTATACTGCAATATGAAAGTACTACCCTATGTTTGACTATGTTTCTAATTTTTAATGCAGAATTGAAAATTTATAATATATTTTCTCTACCCCTTTATGCTGCCCCCCCCCCCCTTTTGTCTTTTGAAACAAAAAAAAAGCATTGACCATTCACATCTCTGGGCAAGAGCTCTCTGTTCGATGTGGGACTTCTCTCTTTATTTCACAACCTCAACAAAAATAAATAAAGCAAAAACAAAAAAAGAAACTATACGTTCTCCATCTATCTGTGCATAAGAGGAATAAGTTTAAGACAACCTCCAAGTGTTTGATGTGAGGCCTATCCCTCTCTCACACACGTGATCTCTCTCCACATGCAAGAAGAAGTTGAAGAAAACCTCTGTGCTGGTAGCGTTTTAGTGGGACATGTACATGCTGTATGGAGGACAAACTGGTTGATCACCTTCTCATGCGTATCCAATTGCCCTTACTAGGGTGATCTATGGTTTTCTCCTGAATATCTGGTGTGAGTCAAATGATGTTGATGAGTAATGGGCTGTATGATGTGTTTCTTAGTGGATCAATTTATGAAAAAGGTGGTAACTATTTTGGTTGAAAGAGTGAGTATAGAATCTTCAATGGAAAATTATCTAGCTATCAATGGTTTTGGACTGATTAGAGACACCATGATCTCTTAGTCTTCTATTCCCTGTTTGTTCTGGAAGCTGGTAAAGTTTATGGGAACTCCCATAAGAATTTGGGTCTTAGGGGTATAGGAGCCATCCTTGCGGATGAGCACATCTAGTCTCAAAGGCATTTGGGCTGGTGGGTTTTGGATCCGGTTTTAGTGGAATCCAGCACTCTGTTGATCGATTTTTTCTGGTGAGTGTTATGAAATTGCCATGTTGAGAATCCAGTCACTTGTGGAGGATTCTTGATATAAAGGACAAGACTGTTGATATTGCAGAATAGGAAATCTCCTTTATCCTTGCTCTCAAAGACGTTAATGAAAGGTGTCAACTTTCTTGCCCAATGTGGAGTGGGACCTTCTTGGTGGAAATTTTTCTAATATTGATATGCTCCATTCTTCAGTTGAATCTCCATGCATATTGATGTATACAGTTTTTGAATCAAAGTTTGTAATTTTCAGTGAAAGTACTTAAGAAAGTTATGAGAACAGAAGGAAAATAAGCTTTAAGGAAGTTCTTGAAAGTACTGATTGAAATCCTTGTTTTAGTTGGTCCTGTCTCTTGGTTTTTCTGTTGGTGTCTTTGTGATGTCTGCATTTTTTGTGGAAGTCTGCTTATTTTCCACTTATGGGCTGAAAGACTAAACTAGGATTTCAGTACAGTGTCGATACTTCTTGTCGTGTTCACAAATTTTTACTTTGTTTCTGCAGATGCATAGGAGCATACAAAACTTTTTTTTTGTGAACTATATTGAATGTGTTCACCTTTATCCCTTTTCTTTAACTAATGGGGCAGGGGATTGAGTGAGGGAGTTGTGCTGTTGATGTTATATAGTTGAGCTTTCGGTCGTTTCCTTGTTTACCAGATTTATTCTTGTTTATTTTCCTTCCTTTATGTACTTGTACTTGGCCAAAAAAATTTTGATACTTTAAAAAAAATAAAAAACTTGTTCTTATGTGCTTCAAAAAAAATAAAAAACTTGCTTTTATACTTTTTGCCTTACAGGAAGAGTTTGATACCCATGACCCCAAGGAACACTGGTTCATGGAACTTCATTTTCTCAAGAAGAGGTCAAAAATAATAGAAATAGTTGCTGCCCGTGATATTGTCTTTGCTCTGGCTCAATCTGGTGTCTGTGCAGCATTTAGCCGAGGTTCGAGACTTCAAGCATCATGTTCCTCATACCTATAGTTACTTTGGTTGCTTTTGTATTCATAATTAGTATTTGTTGTTGCTTTGTGATTAACTGAATTGGCCTCTGTACTTGTGACATGCAGAAACCAATAAGCGGATATGCTTTTTGAACATTAGCCCCGATGAAGTTATCCGAAGTTTGTTCTATAACAAGAATAATGACTCACTTATTACAGTCTCAGTTTATGCTTCCGACAATTTCAGTTCCCTGAAATGCAGAACAACAAGGATTGAGTGCGTTTAGCCAACAGAATATCTATTTCCTTCTGCTCTCTTTATCAGTTCACTGGGATATTGAATATTTCAACCTTTTTAGGTATATCCGGAGGGGCAAACCTGATGGTGGCTTCGCACTTTTTGAATCTGAATCCTTGAAGTGGCCTGGTTTTGTAGAGTTTGATGATGTGAATGGCAAAGTTCTAACCTATTCTGCACAGGATGGGTGAATATTATGGCTTGGTTTTCTTTACTGATGCATTTTTTTCTCGGTTTTCATTTGCATCTGACTGCCAATTCTTATCTGCTTCCCTGTAGGATATATAAAGTATTTGACTTGAAAAATTATACATTGTTGTATTCTATATCAGATGAACATGTACAAGAGATCAAAATCAGGTGAACTCTCTCTCTCTCTCTCTCTCTCTCCCTCCCTCCCAAACACACACACACACATGTCCCAGCTGTTTAGAACTTATTATAAAGTGTTGCTTCACAATTCTAATATGAAAAATACTAGGATCAATTAAAAGTGGTCGAGCTACCCGTATGTTGAGAATTACTGACATGTACTTATAATCCTTACTTCTTGGAGATAACCTGCATTTTCTGCTTGTATGTAAGAGCAAAAACAAGAATGTTCTTCTCTTGCATCTAGGCATCTGATGCCTATTTGGATTAGCCTTACATGCTCATGTAGGTCTAAGCTTGTTGGGATTTCCTCAAATTTCCCCAGTTTCTGGCATTTTTAAAGCAATTTATGACATATAAATAATGGGTGCAGTTGGCATACGGATGCATCCGTAGCTGTAGAGGTAAGGTGCACCTTCAAATTTATCATGGTATATAACTTGGATGTAAAATGTTCTTGGGATTATCTCAAAATCTATTTTTATATCTAATTATAAAATTTTAAATTTAAAAAATGGTTAAAATCAAGTAGATCTATAAACATATGAAAATCTTGAAAATAGACGGTGTAGATAATATGTTGCAAAAACTATTTCTGAGACTTAAAATCTTTTTATTTTTCATGGTCATGCATCTTGATGTCGAGATGATCAA